TCCTCCCTCCCTCCCTTCTTTCCCTCCTACAGTACCTCTACTATCTTCCTCCCTCCCTCCTTCCCTCTCTCTTCTTCCCCTCCTATCTCTACTATCTTCCTTCCGTCTTTCCTTCCTTCCCTCTCTTCCTTCCTTCTCCTTTCTCCCTCCCTCCCTTCTTCCCCTCCTATCTCTACCATCTTCTTTCCTTCCCCTCCTTCCTTCCTGCCTTCTTTCACTCCCTCTCCTTCCTTCCTTCCCCTCCTTCCTGCTTTTCTTCCTTCCTCCCTCCCTCCCTCCCTCCCTTGCCTCCTGTCACAGAGAAGAGGGGTTCAACTTATTCTCCAAAGCCCCTGAAGGCAGGAAAAGAAGCAACGGGTGGAAAACTGGTCCAAGGGAGACCCAACCTGGAAATAAGGAGGGATTTCCTGGCATCCATGGTACAGTTTGCTTCCTGGAGTTGTGGATGCTCCATCACTGGAGGTTTTCAAGAGAAGATTGGACCAGGGTGGTATAAGGCAGGAATGTCCAACCTTGGCAACTTGAAGACCTGTGGACTTCAACTCCCAGAATTCTGGGATTTTGAAGTCCACAGGTCTTAAAGTTGCCAAGGATGGACACCCCTAAGTGTAAGGACTTCTGCCTTGGGCAGGGGGTTGGACTAGAAGACCTCCAAGATCCCTTCCAGACTTAGGGTTCTATGATTTCACTTGGAACACCATTCGAAGGACAGTTTCCTTCTCCCAAGGATATTATTATCCTCCTGCCCAAATTATGTCGATACACTATTTTTTTTTTTCCCTCCAGTGGAGGCAAATTATCAGTCTGGGCTACATTAAGTGGAAAATCCTTATAATCAACATTTTAATTAGTCAAATCCCTGACTAATGTGCTACCCCAGAAGGGCCGCGCGTGCGAAAGTTATGCTTTTACATGTGTCTTCTTCCAAGTTACGGCTGCTCATTCAGATGAGAAGCGTCTTCTTGCCGCTTAAGGTAAACGATTTAAGTAGCTTTGGTTGAGAACAAAAACGACTGTTGACGTTACCGAGTGGGGTAAGGAAACACAAGCACACAATGAAGGTCAGATGAAGAAGAACGCCACAACGACAACTCGGCCATTAAGTGGACAGTCCATCGGTTGAGGGAACTTATTGTGGTCCAGAATTAGAGAAACAGAGAAAATCTTGAAGAACAGATATGGAGGCAGGATAGAAGCTTTGAAGGAGCTCAACCTCTGAGGAACAAGACGGACCAAAACAGGAGAAGGTTTGCAGCTCAGGGTTGAAATGAGGGGTCCTGGGTGCTCTCTGAGCTTGGTGGTTTTCTTGCAGACGTTTCATAACCCAACTAGGTAACATCATCAGTGCAGTGGTGGGTTGCTCCCGGTTCGCAAGAACTGGTAGTAAAAATTTGTAGTAGTTCGGAGAACTGGTAATAACATTGGCTGGCCATGCCCCTGAACTGATCCGCTTACCCCGCCCACCTCATCAGAGGCTTTTTTTTTTTTTTTTACTTTTAAAAGCATTTTTTCTACAACCTCTTCCAAAGAAAAAATGCTTTTAAAAGTTAAAAAAAAAAGCCTCTGATGATCGCGCGGCTCAGCTGGGATCGCCAGAGGCTTTTCAAAGCATTTTTTTCTGCAACCTCTTCAGCCGAAGAGGCTGTAGGGAAAAAAAATGCCTTTAAAAGCCTCTGGCGATCCCAGCTGAGTTAGTTGCCTGATCGTCAGAGGCTTCTCAAAGCATATTTTTCTGCAACCTCTTAAAGTTGTAGAAAAAATGCTTTTTTAAAAAAAATTTTTTATTGAAAATTATTAAAAAATACAAAAAAAAGTATAACAATATGGATAGAATTGCAGAGAGTAATATAATATATATAGAGTTTTAAAGTATCAATTTTCGCCTAGAGAAAGTACAGACCTCCATTAAACCAACTCATCAAAAGAAAGAAAAGTTTATCCAGAAGAAAAAATTCTCAACTGCCATGCACTGCTCCTATAAATATTTACCCACTTTCACATTAAGGTTAATATTTTCATTCTTCTTAAGATTTCTTTTTTTGCAGCCAAGCATACCACCTGTCCCAGCTCCTATATAACCCCGATTCTTGTCTATCTCGCAAAAGTCCAGTAAGCTTGTCTGCTTCTGCACAGTCCATGATCTTTGCGATTAACATAGCCTCCGATGGAGTATTTTTGGATTTCCATTCTTGCGCAAACGAGATCCTGGCTACAATGATGATGTGGAGAGCGAGATACCAATTAGATCTGTTTAAATTCTCTGGTTTTCATGCCTAGTAAAAACGTTTCCGGGTTCAAATCTATCCTACATCCTATGATTTCTAAAATCCATTTTTGAATTCTAGCCCAATGTTCTTTTGCTCGGGGACAGGTCCACCAACTATGAAAGTAAGTTCCCATAGCGGCGTTGCATTTCCAACAAAAATGCTTTTAAAAGTGTAAAAAAAAAAAAAAAAGTTGGCCACACCCACCCAGTCACATTACCCCCCCCACCAAGCCATGCCCACAAAATAAGCCACACCCACAGAACTGGTAGTAAAAAATTTTAGAACCCACCCCTGCATCAGTGCTAGAAGGGAGGAGGAGGAGGAGGAGGAGGAGGAGAGGAGGAGGAGGAGGAGGAGGAGGAGGAGGAGGAGGAGGAGGAGGAGGAGGAGGAGGAAAGAAAATGGTATGGACACAATATCAAAAGGCTAAATTACTGCAACAAGCTCTACATGGGGCTAGTCATAATAGTAGTAGAGAGAGCACCAATGACCCCACGGTCCTCCTCCTCCTCCCTACACACCCGACCCCCTTCTAGCACTGATGACACCACCTAGTTAGATAATGAAATATCTGCAAGAAAACAAGCACGCTCAGAATACACCACGTCCCCACAGTCCTCCTCCTCCTCCCTGCACACCCCAACCCCTTCTAGCACCGATGATACCACCTAGTTGGGTAACGAAACGTCTGCAAGAAAATAACCAAGCTGAGAGTCCACCAAGGACCCCACAATAAACCTCATTTTCCGACTTCCTCGGCAAACCTCCAGATTTACCAGCCACCCCTAACAGGGGTCAGCGAAGATGTAGATTAGGACCGAATCTTATCAAGTAGTAAGACTGGGGTCTACTTTGTCAAACGCCTTGCTGAAATCCAAGTAAATTAAATGGATACGGATTAAATAAATAAAAACGATGAAATCAATATACGATACGGGTAGAAGTCAAGAAATCAACATAAAAACGGCAATCTGGGCATGCCAAGTACAACACGCCGAGGCCAGAGACGGGTTCACGTTCAGGCTCGCACGTTGACAAAGATGGAGGAGAACTCTTAAAAGCCGACAGCTGCTCCGGCTTCGGAGATCAATAAGCAGACACTTTAAAATGTGCTTTTAGCGTGGATCAGAGAATAAATATGGATGATTTTATCTGGGGGTTTATGATGATGAATGGCAGGGCTACTGCTGGGCCCTTTTAGGCACATTTTGCAAGGGGGGTGGTGGTGTTTCTCCCTATCTGAATCTCAGCACAGATTATTTCTGTTAATTTAAATTTATAGGCCACCTGACTCCCGGCAACTCTGGCTGGTTTGATAAAATTCCGCGAAAGGAACCTCTCGGATACGAGCCATGTTTTACACAACTTTGCAGCATCTCCAAACGCCGCCAGCCACGCGCACACGCTGGGGGGAACTCGAGGGGAAGCAAGAAAGCTGTTCATTGATAAAACGGGGTGTCTTCCTCTTTGACATCTTCAATGCCCCCCAAATATATAAGCCCCGTTTTGGTAATGTTTGACTGGTAGGTTCAGCATATGGGTGGGGATGGGTGTTGAACCATTTAAGGACGGTTCATAAATGAGTTCACAGTTAATTCCAGACTATGGAGAAGAAGCAACCATAAATATTGGTGCTCAGCCTCAAAAAAAACAAGAAAATCAAAATAGTTCTGCTTCTACTCATGCTTCCCAAATTATTAAGAGATCCTACCTCACTCCCTTCTAGCACTGATGATGTTATCTAGTTTGTTAATGAAAGGTCTGCAAGAAAACAACCAAGCTCAGAGGGCATCAAGGCTCTCACTGTCTCCTTCTCCTCATGCTTCTCCTCCTCCTCCTCCTCCTCCTCTTCCTTCTCTTCTCTTTCTCCTCCACTCCACAAACCCCTCTCCCTCCTAGCACTGATGATGTTATCCAGGTGGGTCATGAAACGTCTACAAGAATACCACCAAGCTCAGAGGGCAACAAGGATCTCACCATCTCCTCCTCCTCATGCTTCCCTTCGTCCTCTTCCTCCTCTTCCTCCTTCCCTTCTCCTTCTCCTCCACTCCACAAAGTAAGGTAAGGAGAGGTCTCCAAAAATACCACGAAGCATAGAGGGCATCAAGGATCCCACCGTCTCCTCCTCCTTTTCCTTTTCCTTCTCCTCCTCCTCCCCTCCTCCCTCTTCTCCACTCCACAAACCCCCTCCCCCTTCTAGCACTGATGATATTACCTAGTTTGGTAATGAGAGGTCTCCAAAAATACCACGATGCATAGAGGGCATCAAGGATCCCACCGTCTCCTCCTCCTCATGCATCTCCTCCTCCTTTTCCTTCTCCTCCTCCTCCTCCCCTCCTCCCTCTTCTCCACGCCACAAACTCCTCTCCCTCCTAGCATTGATGCTGTTATCCAGGTGGGTCATGAAACGTCTACAACAATACCACCAAATTCAATGGGCACCAAGGACCCCACATTTAAACCCTGAACTACAGACACTCTCTTCCATCAAAAAGGCACATTGCCTTCAAAATTGGCACTTCAAAAGACTAGTCGTATCCGTGAAACCTGTCCGCTTCCCTGTTCAGTGCACCAAACACAATATTTGCCAGAAACGCCGACATATTAACCAGTGTTGCAAACTTGTCATCTGGGTTTATTTTGGCTTTCTTTGCAAACAAGTGGATTCCAATTCCTCTCGAGGGAGAGGGAGATTTCTTTTTGAATGACGTTTATTTATAAAAACTGTCCTACCTTGCAGCTCTCCGCTCCGGCTGTAAAGTTCCCTCCTCTGTTCCTGCAGGTAAGTGCTCATACTGATGGCATGGGAAGATGACTCAAACCTACAACGAAACGTAGCACACGATGGCACATCGCTAGCAAGCAAAGAATGCTCTCTACTGCTGACAGAACAGAACAGAACAGAACAGAACAGAACAGGATATTGGAATGAAGAACAGAACAGAACAGGATATTGGAATGAAGAATAGAATAGAATAGAATAGAATAGAATAGAATAGAATAGAATAGATATTGGAATGTAGAATAGAATAGAATAGAATAGAATAGAATAGAATAGAATAGAATAGATATTGGAATGTAGAATAGAATAGAATAGAATAGAATAGAATAGAATAGAATAGAATAGATATTGGAATGTAGAATAGAATAGAATAGAATAGAATAGAATAGAATAGAATAGAATAGAATAGAATAGAATAGGAATAGAATAGGATATTGGAATGAAGAATAGAATAGAATAGAATAGAATAGAATAGAATAGAATTTGGAATGAAGAATAGAATAGAATAGAATAGAATAGAATAACTTTATTGTCACTCTGAATGTACACTAATCGGCATACATTAAAACGAAATTTTGTGGCATACAGGTCCCAAATCCCTTACCAGTGCCATTATAACTTTGAACAGTCACTAAATGAATGGTCATAAGCAGAGGTGGGTTTCACATAATTTTACCACCGGTTCGCCGCACATTGAAAATGTGAGAGTGTGCATGCTTTCTGCACATGCCCACGGCCTTCCGTGCATGAGCTTTGCTTGCAGCTTAGGAAACGTGACTAAATAGGACGGCACAGGGCCGGGGCAGGTGGGCGGGCCCACCTGCAGGTCACCACTACTGGTTCACCCGAAACGATCCAAACCGGCTGAATACCACCACTGGTCATAAGTCAAGGACTACCTGTAATGGTTTTCTTAGCAAAGCAAATTCAAATACTCCCCACGTTGCTTTAGAGGTAAGAGAAAGCCAGGCTTATCTGCAACTTTCTAGATTGTTCTCCCAACTCCCAACAAAAAGAGCCTTGGTAGTACAGTGGTCTAAAGCACCCTGTTATTAACACAGCTGCCTGCAATTTACTGCAGGTTCAAATCTCACCAGGCTCAAGGTTGACTCAGCCTTCCATCCTTTCTAAGGTAGGTAAAATGAGGACCCAGATTGTGGGGGCAATAAGCTGACTTTGTATAAATATATAAAAGTATGAAGGCTATTGCTTAACGCCTTGTAAGCCGCCCTGAGTCTCCGGAGAAGGGCGGCATATAAATCAATTTTTTTTAAAAAAAAACAAACTCAAACAAAGCCCCTTTGTGCAGATACAAAAAACTGTTTCTCTTCTTTGCGCTTTGTTTTCGTTTTTTTTAACAACCTGTTGTGTTTTTTGCAATCTGCTTTTGCCGTTGGTTCTTGGCGTATTTTATCCAGGCTCTATATTACGGGAATCGTCCTGGAGTGCGTTGAGTTTTTTTATCGACACTGCTCGTGGATTTTTATGGGGTTCTGTTTTACATAATGCAGTAAATCCTAGCTGGCGGGCATTTAGTAAATTTCAACAGATGTGTCGGTTTGGCTTTTCTGTACCGTAATGTTTCAAAAAAAATTTAATTAAGCGGCAACCTCATTGGCAGGAAAAAAATAAATAAAAATAAAAGTAAGCCAGGAGAAGAATTAAAAAGTCAGATTTCAACTCAGGTCTGAACAATTAAGGGAACTGGGTATGTCTAGTCCAATGAAGGTAAGGCTTAGGGGAGACAGGAGAGCATCCTGCAATCGTGGAAGGTCCTGTCCCAGAGAAGAACGGGTCAACTTATTCTCCAAAGTACCTGAGGGCAGGTCAAGAAGCTTCCACCAATCTGGAAATAAGGAGGAATTTCCCGACAGTGAGAACAATTAGTCAATGGGACATCTACGGAGATTCTCTGTCATCCAGGTCGTGGTTGTCCCAAAGGTGCTTTTTCAAGGGGGAATTAGACTTTCTGGTTTTTCTTTTGAAGATGTTTCGCTTCTCATCCGAGAAGCTTCTTCAGCTCTGACTGGATGGTGGGGAATGGATGTGGTGACCCACCACCGGCCTGCGCGGATCATGGCTGATCCCGACCACGAGGAGGCTGGTGCAGGGTCGCGCCAGCAGCCTGTGTAGCCGGCGCTCGCGTCGGACAGCGAGGAGGCTGAAGAGGATGTGATGCCAGAGGCAGAGACTCAGCCAGGGCCTTTAGAACCTCCAGAGGCTCCTTCCAGTGGAGAGAGCGAAGTGGAGGAGCCTCTCCTCAATGCTCGACCACTCAGGGCTGCCAAAAGGCAGGAGTGGCTACTCAGGAGGAGGAGGTCTCCTCGAGAGTAAGGTTTGAGGATAATTGGCCACTCCCTTAGCCTATTTAAGTCACACGCAGTTAGTAATTTCTTGCTGGAAACAACGTGTAATTATTACAGAGCATTTTGGAGAGTGAGTGTCTTATCGTATCTTTCTTCTGGGCTGGTTGCCAACCTTTGCCAGACTTTGTTTATTCTTGGTACATTGTAACTTTGATAAGGACTGTTGGTGTGTGTCACAATCCTTGGGAAGCCAGAGCTGGGGCACAACAATGGAAGAATTTATACTCCTTGCAGACAGCCGGTCATTTGCATTCTTTTTAGAGAGTCGTTGAGGCCACTTGGGAGGTTTTATCCGTGTCCTCAGGGTCACACCTGAGTGGTGCAAATGGGTGTGGAGCCTTCGTGGAACTGCTGGAAGGACTGTGTTGTAGACTAGGTGGTGTCGTATCCCTCTCCCTCTGTTGAGGGAGGGCTGTTCAATGTTAACCTAAATGCCTCTTTGACCCCCTCTTTCAAACCACTGGTCCTCTGTGTCCAGAATCTGGACTTTGCTGTCTTCAAAAGAGGGCACTGAGAAACCTCCAAGCGGCCTCAACAACTCTCAGGAAGAGTGTGAATGACCAGATGACTGCACGGCATAGAAATCCTTCCGTTCTCACCATTCGGTCAGAGCTTAAGGAGCTTCTTGGATGAGAAGCAAAATGTCTTCCAAGAATAACAAGAAAGTCTAGGTACCTCTTGGAAAAAAAAAAAAAAAACACCTTTGGGATACTCGATGGAACAGCTCGCCTCCTGGGCTTATGGGTGCTTCATCACTGGAGGTTTTCAAAAACAGACTGGACAACCATTTTGACTAGGATGGGACAGGGCAGTGATGGCAAAGCTTTTCGGCACCGAGTCCCCAAACCGGAACATGCGTGCGCCGGATTGCCAGAAACCCGAAGACCAGCTCGCCGGTGTGCATGAGTGTGCTGGCCACCTGGTCTTCGTGCGCACCTGAGCACCAGAAAGACAGCGCACGCCGTCTATCTATCTATCCTATCATCTATCTATCTATCTATCTATCTATCTATCTATCTATCTATCTATCTATCTATCATTAGCTAGCTACCCTTTCCCCCTGAAAATAAGACATCCCCTGATAACAAGCCCAATTGGGCTTTTGAGCGTATGTGCTAAAATAAGCCTCCCCCCAAAAATAAGCCCTCTCCGAAAATATTTAAATGCAGAGCTGGAAATCAGGTAAGATGGCAAGCGGAGCCCCATCTTGCTTCACGCGCCCCAAAATAATGAGACCTCCCTGAAAATAACCCTTATTTCGGAGTTCAAAAAAATTTAAGACAGGGTCTTATTTTCGGGGAAACACGGTATCTAGCTATCATCTAGCTAGCTAGCTATCTCACTATTCTCTCTCTCTCTCTCCCCCTACCTACATATCATTAGCTAGCTATCTAGCTATCATCTAGCTAGCTAGCTAGCTAGCTATCTCTCTAATATCTATCTATCTATCTATCTATCTATCTATCTATCTATCTATCTATCTATCATCTAGCTCAGGGGTGGGCAACTGTGGCCCTTTTACAGTCTGCGGACTTCAACTCCCAGAATTCCTGAGACAGCCAAGCTGGCTCAGGAATTCTGGGAGTTGAAGTCCACAGGTCATAAAGGGACCATATTTGCCCATCCTTGATCTAGCTATCTCTCTCTCTATTATCTCTCTCTCTCTCTATCATCTGTCTATCTATCTATCTATCTATCTATCTATCTATCTATCTATCTATCTATCGTATCTCCTGCCTTTATCATATGTATAAATAGGTTACTTTTCTCAACACCTGCCTAACTCTGAATAAAAGCTAAACGAATGGTTGTAAGTCAAGGACCACCTGAATGTTCTCATCTCCTTCCCAATTCCAACCCTCACATTTTCTAGATTTGAGTTTTCACCTTTCTTGAGTCTCTCAGGCAAGGAACCTCCCCGTCTGAGGGGAGACATATAGATACATGCCCTCAAAATACAGGCAGTCCTTGATTTATAACAGTTTGTTTAGTGACTGTTTGAAGTTCCAATGGCACTGAAAAATAGTGACTTATGACCGTTTTCACGCTTACCACTGTTCCAGTCATGTGATCAAAATTTAGACGCTTGGCAACTGACTTGTACTTATGACAGTTGCAGTGTCCCTGGGTCACATGATCCCCTTTTGCAACCTTCTGACAAGCAAACTCATTGGGGAAGCCAGATTCACTTAACAACAGTGTTACTAACTTCACGACTGCAGTGCTTCACTTAACGACTGCGGCAAGAAAAATTGCAAAATGGGACAAAACTCACTTAACAAATTTCTCACTCAGTAAAAAACAATTCTGGGGTCCATTGTGGACATAAGTCGAGGACTAGCCGTAGAGCAAATGAGTGGGCTCTCAAAAAAAGAGAAGGAAGCACGGAAGACTTCAGGACTCTTTTCCACATCAGACACAACTCGGGGGTGAAAAAAAAAAAACAGAGCTGCACCTACTTGAACAAAGAGGTTTTGGGCCTTTGAGGTTTCTTTTTTGCAAAAAATGCCGCAAACTCCCTTCCGGAGCTGGCGTAGCTCAGCTGAGCTGAAGGCTCTGAAGAGGCGCGTGTGTTTTTCATGTCCAGGTATTCTGTCAGCAGCATCTGGAAGAAAGAAGAAGGGAAAAAAAGAGAGAGTTTCAACCCAACGGAATCCCTGAAAGGCCGATATCAATAAATCACACTTTAACTGAACAGGAATGTGGCTCAGCTGAAAGACGGAGGTGTTTTTGGACAAAGGCGGTAAATTCTTGCCAGTAGAAATTGTCATTTTTTAAAGCTGTTCCAGAAAACAGGAACGTTTTCAGAAGTGAATGGGATCTTTGGGCAGGATTCAATCACCCTGAAGAAGAGACTCTGGGAAATTCAAGAGATTGTCCCACAAAATGTAACAATGCTGATTTTCTACAATTTTTTTTTAGCATTGTTATGTTTTCCTCCTGGGGATGAAAGCTATGGCAAATCTAGGCAGCATACTAAAAAGCAGAGACATCATCCTGCCAACGAAAGTGTGTATCGTCAAGGTTTTCCCAGTTGCAATGGATGGCTGTGAAAGTTGGATCATAAGGAAGGCTGAGAAGGCCAAAGAATGGAGGCCTTTGAACTCTGGTGCTGGAGAAGACTCCTGCGAGTCCCTTGGACTGCAAGGCCATCCAACTGGTCAGTCCTAGAGGAGATCAACCCTGACTAGTCTTTAGAAGGCCAGATCCTGAAGAGGAAACTCAAATCCTTTGGCCACCGAATGAGAAGGAAGGACTCCCTGGAGAAGAGCCTAATGCTGGGAACGATGGAGGGCAAAAGAAGAAGGGGACGGCAGAGAAGGAGGTGGCTGGATGGAGCCACAGAAGCAGTCGGCGTGAACTTAAATGGACTCCAGAGGATGATAGAGGACAGGAAGGCCTGGAGGAACGTTGTCCATGGGGTTGCAATGGGTCAGACACAACTTCACAACTAACAACAACGTTTTTTAGGACAATATCTAGAAATCTCTTTCTAGAGATCCTTAAATGTGGTACTTGCTTCCGTGGGAATCTGACCTCTAGCACAGAGTTCCTTGAAGTTTTTCATCTCAAGACCCCTTCCCACTTGTAAAAATGATGGGAGGACCCCAAAACAGCTCTTCTTTGGGTCCCAGTGCTCTGTATTTACTGTATTCATATTTATTTATTTATTTATTAATTAGACTTGTATGCCGCCCATCTGGCCTGGAATACATTAAATTAAAACGAACCTGTTCCATAAAATAGTAATGATAAAGCATGCAAAAATAACCATGTTAAACCCGTGACATATTAAAAGAAATGAAATATTGATCAGGGGGGGAAAAAGTATATTTTTGACAAATGAAAAATAATAGGGTGTTTTTTTCTTTTGTCCTTTTGAAAAAAATATATATATTGGTGGTTTGTATTTTAACTGTGTTTGAATAAACTAAATAAGGTAGTCCTCAACATACAACAGTTCATTTAGTGACTGTTCAAAGATACAGCGGCACTGAAAAAAGGGACTTATGACCGTTTTCGATAGTTATAACCTTTGTAGTATCCCCATGGTCACGTGATCAAAATTCAGCGGCTTGGCAACTGATTCATACTTATGACGGTCGCTGTGTTCCATGGTCATGTGATCCCCTTTTGCGACTGTCTGATGAGGCAAAGACAATGGGGAAGCCGGATTCATGTAACAACCGGGTTACTAACTTATCGACTGCAGGGATTCATTTAACGACCGTGGCAAGAAAGGTCATGAAATGGGACAAAGCTCACTTAACAAATGTCTCACTTAACAACAGAAACTTTGGGCTCAATTGTGGTCGGAAGTCGAGGACTACCTGTATTATACCAATTGTGGTCGTAACTCAAGCAGTAGCTATACATACAAGGGCTCGTTTTCTACGTATCAAAATAAGCCACTGATTGACAGTCAGCCGTATTTATTATGAGAATTATTCGCCCAGCCTGGATTGAGGGTTTTTTTGATTATTTTAATGGGTTTTAATATATGTTTAAATTATATATTTATACATTTATGTATTTTATGTATGCATATTTATGTATTTTACATTTTATTGGGTTTGTTTTTAGAAGAGCCTGGTGGCACAGCAGACTAATAGCCTGTTATTAACATTCAGCTGCCTGCAATTACTACAAGTTCGAATCTCCCCAGGCTCAAGGTTGACTCAGCCTTCCATCCTTTCTAAGGTAGGTAAAATGAGGACCCGGTTTGTGGGGGCAATGAGCTGACTTTGTATAAAATATACAAAAGGATGAAGGCTATTGCTTAACGCATTGTAAGCCGCCCCGAGTCTCCGGAGAAGGGCCGCATATAAATCAAATTAAAAATAATTTTAAAAAAAATTGCTGTGAACCGCCCTGAGTCCTACGGAGATAGGGCGGCATACAAATTATATTAAATAAAATAAATATATAAATAAATAAATAAAATAAATTATGGGAAGGAGAAGGAGGAGGAGGAGGAAAGAGAAGAAGAGGAGGAGGAGGAGGAGGAGGAAGAGGAAGAGGAAAAGGAAGAAGAAGAAGAAGAAGAAGAAGAAGAAGAAGAAGAAGAAGAAGAGAAGAAGAAGAAGAAGAAGAAGAAGAAGAAGAAGAAGAAGAAGAAGCCGCCAAAGGGAAAAAAGAGTTTGTGATTAAGGCACATTAAGGCACTGACAACACCTCAATCTCCTAAGAACATGGAGGAATTAATGCTAATTATATTTTCACCCAGCGAGGAAACTGCCTTAACCTAATAGAGCAGCCCTGACAGCAGCAAGTGGAACAGAACAGCGAAGTGCGACTCTTATTTAAACAAATTAACAGGAAACAACCAGGCCAAAAGAATTAAGCTGCTAATCAGACAAAACTGAGAATATTGCTTCTTGTTGTTGTTGTTGTTTTTTAAAAGCAATGCAATTAAATAGCAATAACCCGGTTTCTATCCGTAAATATCTCAGATTTATTCGCAGCAAAGAGGTCGCTATTTTTATTCTTCTTGCAGGCAAAAGAAAAATGTTTGTGGTTTGCTTTGCTCTGCGTCTTACCTATTTCTTGTTCCACTCCGGAAAGGAAACTCCTTTTTTACACAAAGTCTACATCAGACGATGCAAAGGGAGATGGATTCAGTCCCAAAGGTGCTTTTTCAAGAAGCAACTGGACTTTCTGGGGTTTTTTTTTCCCCCTTTGAAGACATTTCGCTTCTCATCCAAGAAGCGATGGATCTGTACTACACTGAAAATAGAGTGTTCTTTATCTAAAGAACTTATAATTCAATTTTACAGGATACCCAAATCGGAACAGATTCTTAGTAACCTGAATTGAATTTATTATTGTTTATAGATCTCCTCTGTGATTTTTACCACCATTGGCCATATTTCTTGATAATCCTGCTCATTTTAGAGCTTAATACAGATTTCTTTTTTTTTAGTCTTGTAAAGCAATGTAATATTTTCAGCCATTAACCCCTTACCTAGTGATATACACAGAAACTAGTACCTCCATTACATTTTTCAACCCCTTGTTTATTCATCTAATATTTTTCATCTTTTCTTATCTCCTTTTTTACGGTTGTTTATAGACTTTATCTCATGTCTAATCCAGGGGTGAAATCCAGCAGGTTCTGACAGGTTCTGGAGAACCGGCAGCGGAAATTTTGAGTAGTTTGGAGAACCGGCAAATATCACCTCTGGCTGGACCCAGAGTGGGGTGGGAATGGAGATTTTGCAATACACTTCCCCCAGGAATGGGGAGGGAATGGGGATTTTGCAGTATCCTTCCCCCAGGAGTGGGGTGGGGAAGCCCAATTCATTTCACTATGCCATCACTCTGCAACACTGTCAAATAATTTACTAAGACTGTATTACTATTATTCTCTTTCTTCCTTACTAGTATCTATCTCTTCCCATTTATGACTATAACCATGTCGCTTGTATCTTTTTGTTTCCTAGTACGATTTGATAGCTTATTAGTAACCTGGACTATCACTAAGTATTGTATCTTTTTATTCTTGATGAATGTATTTTATTCTCCTTACGTACGCTGAGAGCATATGCACCAAAGACAAATTCCTCGTGTGTCCAATCACACTTGGCCAATAAAGAATTCTATTCTATTCTATTCTATTCTATTCTGTTCTGTTCTGTTCTGTTCTGTTCTGTTCTGTTCTATTCTATTCTATTCTATTCTATTATTCTTTTTCTATTCTATTATTCTTTTTCTATCCTATCCTACCCTATCCTATCCCCATCCTCTATTCTATTCTATTCTGTTCTGTTCCGTTCCGTTCCGTTCCGTTCCATTCGTCTACTCTACTCTACTACTCTACTCATTACTCTACTCTACTCTACCTATTCTATTCCATTCCATTCATCTACTCTACTACTCTACTTTACTCTATTACTCTACCTATTCCATTCCATTCCATTCCATTCCATTCCATTCCATTCTGCATTCCCTTCCCTTCCCTTCCCTTCCCTTCCATCCTATCCTATCCTATCCTATCCTATCCTATCCTATCCTATCCTATATGTTCTATCCTATCCTATCCTATCCTATCCTATCCCATTCTATTCTGCATTCCATTCAATTCTATTCTATCCTATTCCATTCTCTATTCATTCCATATTCTGTTCTGCTCTGCTCTTCTATTCTAAACTTAACAGCTGCAAGAAAGGTTACAAGACGGGGACTATTCACTTGAAATAACTGTCCCGTTTAGCAACACAAATGGTGGTCGTAGGTCAAAGAACGGCTGCACTCCATTCATATATTCTTATCGGGACTTGATGGGTAGAAGGCAGAGGCTGGAGGGTCTGGAACTACGCAAGCCCAGTTTTTTTGCTACTCGCTGAAGAGATTAGGCCTCTTTGCCTGGGGATGGAGAAGAGGTAGGCGAATTGGCTCCTGCCGCATTTAATTATTCGTGGCGAAGCCATCCATCAAAATCCTTTTCGGCGTTAATCAAATGCATAAAGAAGAAGATTTATGAGGGGCGGTGAAATCTGCAGTCCATTTATCACAAGGACTTCTGATTTTCTGTGCAAGAGGGGCTGATGACGGCCATCCGGGCGAGAAACCCTAATGGCTTGGACATGGACGCTAAACAAATTT